AGCATGAGGGATGCATGATGTCCGTGTGACGTCACTGGTGATATTAACCTCCATTGCTTGGCTAATGTGATCGCCAGATTTCTCCACTGCACAGTTACTGGTTTTCCCTCTCCCTCCTCCGTCTTCGGAAGTGAATCACTGGGTTGAGCCTACCCTTGATGGGGAGGAGGTGGGGATTAAGTTCCCACCTCCTGGAGTGAAGGTTATCAACATACATTATTTGGAAGTCTTTTGTAAGGAAGACCTGTCACTTCTACCCTATTTATTTATTTATTCAGTCATTTATTTCTACCGGTATTGACTTGTATATTATTTTATACCTTGGGTTAATATTCCAATATTGCAACAGTTATTTTATGGTTCAAATGGCCCCAGCTGTGGCCATTTGGAGCTCTTTCAGGTAGGCGCCTGTGTCCCTTTGATGTGCATCGTCCTTTCGTGTTTTGCACACTTCCATACTTGGGGGTTCACCCACTGATTTTAGCATCTGTATGTGAATGTTACCTGCAGGTTATTTCTGTAGTGTTCTAACGGTGATGTTCTATGTCCCTTCTCAGTTTAATCAAGATAAACTGAAGATATTTAGAGCTTATTATTTTTTCTTTTACACAGCCTTTGGTTCTTCTTCCTTATTTAAAAAATTGAATGTATTCCCCCAAAATATAAAGTTATAAAGACACCAGGACTTGAATTTCAATTCTGGCCCTCTGGGCCATTTGATGTTAGGCTTCTCTAAACCTTGATTTCCTTTGTATCACAAGGGTATAAATACCTACCTTACAAAGTTATCAGGAGATTAAGTGCATTATTGCATGTAAGGTTCTCAATCTCAAGGAAGGCAGACAACATCAGTCCCGCCTCCGCCAGCACCATCATTGCCTCCACACAGCTTTCAGAGCTTCCTTTCTAGAATGCATAGCTGATGATGACGCGACATTGCACAGACTTGTCCTTGGCTGCCTGTCATTGTTAGTCTGGCTTTTGACCAAAATCATCTGAGGAACTTGAAAAGATACATATTAACCCAGCCTTACGATGAGAATTTTGGTGGGGCAGGTTCAGCCCTTGTCTGTACTCTAGAAAGGTGAGAGCAGGGGTCCACCCCAGTCGACCTGAGTTAGGGCCCCCTCTGAGGGCTGACAGTGAGTTCTCCCTCACCCACTGATGCCAGTAATAAAGAGGGGATCCCTGCTCCCCACCACCAAAAGCAAGGAGGTACCAAAGCAGCAATCAGGAGACAGACCGACAGTTCCTAGGTATTCCACTCAATATCCTTGTCATCCTGCCCAGTCAGCTGCCTTCCATATAGGGAAGATGATCTTGGAGACCTTTTTAATTCAAAATGTACACAGATAAAGACTACCATCCTAGTAGGAACAAATACAATGTTTGTTGTATGTATTTTCTTAATGCTGCTTTTTACTCCTTTTAACCCTTATCTCTAACATTTTGCATAGTGCTCTCTCTGTCTTTCTTTTTTGATTGGATACACATATATTTTGTGAAATGATTAACACAGTCAGGTTAGTTAACACCTCTATCACCTCACATAATTGCCTGTTTTTTTGTGTGTGTGGTGATAACATTTAAGATCTACTTTCTTAACAACTTTCAAGTATGTAACACCGAATTGTTCATTACACTCACCTATGCTGCACATCAGATCCCCAGAATGTATTCCTCTTATAACTGGAGTTTGTATCATTCGACCAACATCTCCCCATTTCCCCTCTCCCTAGCTCCTGGCAGTCAGCATGCTGCTCTGTTTCTGTGATTTTGTTTTTTTAGATTCCACATGTAAGTGATAATGTATACAGTATTTGTCTTTGATGTATTTCACTGGACTTGATGCCCTTAAGATCCACCCACATCACTGCAAATGTTAGGATTTCCTTCTTTTTTTTACAGCTGAGTTATACTCTGTATACGCACGGTATCTTCTTTATCCTTTCATTGTAGCTGGACACATAGGTTGTTTCCATGTCTCGGCTTTTGAACATAATGCTGCAGTGAACTTGGGGGGAGTGCAGACATCTCTTCAAGAAGGTGATTTCATTTCCTGAGGCTGTATACCCAGGGTGGGACTGCTACATCATATGGTAGTTCTTTTTAGTATTTTGAGGAACCTCCACACTGTTTTCCACGGTGGCTGTGCCAATTTACATTCCTACCACCAGTGCACAAGGGTTCCCTTTTCTGTACATCCTCTCCAGCGCTTGTTAGCTCTTGCCTTTACTAGCCATTTTAATAGATACCTCATTATGGTTGTGATTTTGATTCCCCTGATGATTAGTGGCATTAAACATCTTTTCACATACCTGTTGGCCCTGTGTATTTCTTCTATGGAAAAATGTCTATTCAGGTACTTAGCGGGAAAGGACCTTAAAGCTTCTGTCCCTTTTCAGCGGAAGTGTGCGAAGGCAGCTGTTTCAGAATCACACGACCTCATAGTGCCAGAACCCAGGCTCTGGAACCTTGCCTTCTTCTCTCTCCAAGCCTAGGACTCCCCCCGTCACCTCACTTGCCTTCCCACGGAGGCAGGCAGCAGGCTGCTGACCCTTCCGGGCAGCGCACTCCTGAGAGCTCACTCATGTCTCTAGCAGGGCCTGGAACGGCATTCAGTCCAAAGGTGGTCCCAAGTTCTGGAGGAAACTTTTCATTTTTCTGCATTATCTGGGTTAAACCCCTGTAGGCAATGACCTTATAACAATGTCAACCCTTGAAAAGCAAGTGGCAAGAAGCACCCTGCAGTATTAGGTGCTGCTAACTACCCTCAGCTGAGTACATGGAGATGACAGGCACACGAAGTCTCAGATCTCACTACACCTTCTCATCTATTGCCTTTGGCTGTTACTCCAACCTTTTTAGGTCAGAAGGTACAAGACCAGGAGTCTGACTATAGGCAATTCCAGGATTTCCTTGGTTTACACGATTCCATCCCATGTCTTTCTTCTTATGTTGGTATATATATTAAAGATGCTTATTTACAATAATTTATTGGCCCCAAACTTTAAAGAAATCGTCTAAACATAATGACAAAACAGTAAGATCATTGTACAACAATATAGGGCCCATAAGCAGTAGCCCCCGCCCCCGGACACTATCAGTGGAGCCGTGGGAACCTTTGGACGCCTGTGGACACTGACTGGGACCGAGTTAGCTAAGGGCTGCCCTGCTGAACAGCTGGATAAGACACCCAGAGAGCCATAATTTGGGCTGTATCCCAGCCGATGGCAGAGTTAAGGATGCCCCCTTTATATTCATCTTTAAAATTTAGATTCCTTAACCTCTTCCGCGTGAAGCCAGGGACCACCGCAGGGCACTGTCTCGTGGACGTGCACGATTACGCCACCTCCACAAGTCTAAAAGCCCCGGATCTTTCCAGGAACTGCCTGAGAACATCTAGCTGTGCCTGCTGCCTCCCGGGACCACTGCTGCAGGAGGACTGTCTTCTCTTAGTGTTTGTGACCCCCGCGGGGCAGCCCTTCAGCTGGTCAGCAGCGCCTCCTTCCTTCCCTTCCTTCCAAACCCTCCTCCCGGCCCCTCCTCCTTCTCTCCTTCCTTTCTTGCTCTTTCTGTTTAAAATAATAATAACACCCCATAACGCAAAGAAATAATAATACCATTGTTTTCAGAATAACAAGCATTAAAAATAGGCTCCTCTATTTTTTGTACTTTTTTTAATTGCCTAAAGCATTACTTTTATTGGAAAAATGAAGTCTGGTCCTTGTCTAAGTCGGCTGGGATGGGAGCGATAATTTGGCTGATATGTTTCCTTGTTGGCAGCACAATTTAGAAAGTGACTGGTGATCTCATGTAAAGGCTTGACTCTAAATCCAGTAGAACAGGAGAGAAGAAAAGGCCCCAGCAGGCAGAGGGCAGCGGGGAGGGAGGCATCTTAGGACTGGTCAAGGTCAGAGGCTGCTGTTGATCCGACTGCCTTCAGTTCCTATAATCTTTGCTCTGAACCTTGCAGGAGTCACCAGGATCCAAGCAACACTATAACGCTAACAGCTAGCATTTGTTAAACACTTGCCATGGGCATGCACATTTTATAAGCTTTTACACTTAATTTTCAGCCTCATGAAAGGCCCCTCCCAGGGAGCCCTGGGAATCTGGACTCGGTGCTTTGTCTCCTCACCCAACTTTGCTGCACTTCCCGGCCCTCCTGGTCAGCATCCAAGTCCCCCTCTGCCTGGTTCTTCCTGTTGCTGAGCCTGGGTGGTTATTTCCAGCCCTGCTCTTCTGTCTTGAGCTCTGGCCCTCCATGCTGCCCTCTTGGGGCCATGCTACTTTGAACCAGTCTGCCAGTGACAACAGCCCGTTTTCCAGCTTTGGAGCTTGCCCTCTGGCTCTACAGTTCTGCTAAGAACCACCTCCTCCTACAGATGGGTTTGGACACCAGTGACCTGAACAATTAAAAAATAAACATTGTACCTGCTTATGTAAAAAATAAGTGGCTGAGACATAGACAAAATGCTTTGTTTTTTAATGCTTATGACTGCTCAGAAGTTCACAAATAGGCCCACCTAATTTTTTTTTTGTTATCATTAATATACAATCAGATGAGCGACATTGTGGTTACTAGATTTCCCCCATTATCAAGTCCCCCTCACATACCCCATTACAGTCACTGTCCGTCTGCATAGTAAGATGCTATAGGCTCACTACTTGTCTTCTCTGTGCTATACTTAGGCCCATCTAATTTTATTGTCTTTTGTTTATTTACTGAGGGAAGATGTTACCAAATTGTAAGCACAGATGTCAGCAAGAGAATTTAAATTGGGCAACAACGTGGGATAAGAGCAATTAAAAGATGGCCTTTTTCCTTGGCTCCTGCCTTCGGTCAGCCTGACGGCAAAGTTCGTGTTGACTTCTGTCATCATCTAAAATTCCATCTCTCTGTGGCTGCTTGTGTTGGAGGTTGCATTTATTTTCCTTAGTTCTTGTCCCCAGCACAACAAAGAATTGAAAGGCAGAGACACAGTAGTGAAGCAGAATGAAAGTTTTATTAGAATATTCTCCAGAGAAGCAGACCAGAGTCCAGGTTTATTTGATTACACCCCAAGGAAGGAGCAGGCCAGAGTCAAGGTAGACCCAGGCAGGCTGCTTACCCGGAGGCTTCTTTTGTGGGTTTTTTTGGCAAGGCAGAGAAGTTCTTGACTGACATTCTTTGGTCTTGAGGGCTTGATCTGATTGGAGGATTGAAGACATGGGCCTGTGCTGTGATGTTTTCATCTGGGGGTTTTTTGTTGTTGTTGTTATGTGGGGAGTGACTGCCCTTCAAGTCACTCTCAGTCCCTGTGGCTTTATTTAATTCATCTTCTGCATTATCTCTGGCTTTCTGGCTTTATCTGATTAACTCCCTGAGTTCTTGGTGGGCCCCACCCTCTTTTCCTCCCACTCATGTCTGTCTTTTCGCCTCATATTCCACCCCCAAGCAGTCGGGACCCAGGTCACTGGGCTGAGGGGTGATGCCCGCCCTGGCTGCTTCCTGCTAGTGAGGGGCAGTCCTTCTGGGTCCCTCTGCTTGCTGACTGTCAGGATGGTGCAGTGAGGGTGCTCGTCCTGGGGTCTCAGGAAGTCAGCTAATTTATCAGTTGGTAGAGGCTTAAATATTCATGACAATAGGACTTTAATCTCGAAAGACTGTAGTCTGGAAGAAATAAATTTGTTTAAGAGTTTCAGTAAGCATGGTTTAAACAGTGGGGCTGTTTCTGCCTGAGTGGGGGCATGTCTCAGTCCTTGCTATCTGTTGAGGAAAGGGGGAGTCTGGCTGTAGGGGTGCCAGTCGAGTGGTTCCATGAAGATGGATGTGTGGTCATCTGATGGCATTGTTACCGGCTGAGATGCTCTTTTTTCTAGGATCGTGTCTCACAGGTGACAAAGAATAAATTCACCAGACAAGAGTACAGAGCAACCAGCTAAGCTTGTAATGAAGAGTGAAAAGAAGATTCCCACTATTTGGGAGGGGCTCCAATGGAAAGCTCTTTGGGCTGCAGTGTCTAGGGGATTCTAGGCACTAGAAAGGAGGAAGTCCGCCTGGTTGCCTAGGACTTGTTGCTAGGGGCTGAGCTGGAATCAGAAAACCCCCTTGTTTCTCAGGCTGGCCATTTCCGGGGGTGATTTCTTAAAGGTTGTGCTTGGCTGGCCGACCACGATGCCTGGTGTCAGCATCCTGCTTGGCCGATCTCTACCAAGGCAACATGTCCTGTTCTACCCACCCCACCGGTTACCTCCTGCCTCAGGATGGGTTGGAATTTTTGTCTCATGGCCATCTGCATGAGTGCAGTTTGAGTGCTTCTAGGTGAGAAGACACAAATATGATTAGATTAAGTAAGCATGGTCTAAACAGTAGGGCTCGGAAAAGCATTAGTAGGGGTCTAGCAAAGGGGAGTAGCCAGAATGCCCCGTTCCGAGAGTGGGACTAAACTCATGATTCTAAGAGCTGCTGAGGAATCAGAGGCTTGATTGGCTAGTTTCTTTGCTGCCTGTCAGGGAGAGAGAGAGGGCATGGAGATGTCGTAGCAGTGACTGAGTTGGACAAGGGCACATGAAAGGAGGGTGCAACTAGATGGCGAGGCTATTGTTATGCATCTTCATCAGCATGAAGCATGGGCTGACATCTTTGTCTGACAAGCATCTAGAGTTGGATTTTCTGTTCTGGAGGGAACAAACTCGACAAGGAGGTTAAGAATGTATGGCCAAATATGAGGATTAGGAATAATAAGGCCCGAGCCGAAATGATGGAAGGGAATTGGAAATGTCTGGAGAGTCATAGCCTGATCTTTTGAGGAAACCAGAATTCAGGATCTCGTATATTTTACAATGACTAGTATTAGAATCTATTACTGATAAGGCTGCACTATTGAAACAATACTTTTCTCTCTAAAGTCACCTTTATTTTTATTAGAGATAACCATTTAAGTGCTAACTTATTTGTAAAATAAGTTTAGCTTCAGAACACTTAGCCTGATTATTTTACATAAGAACAGTAATTGATCACATAGGCTCTTTTAGATGTGATTTGCTGGAACTTTTCATAAAGAATTTCAGATAGCACTTGTAAAGGCCTCTTGAGTCTAGGAAAGCCAAGCCAGAGACTTGCCATTAGGTTTTGCCTGCAGGACCTGTGGCTTTGGGTGAATTCTTCTCTTCTTAAGATCCCCAAGATATTCTGAGGTTCCTGCACTTGCCAGGAAGTGACCTTCTTTACTCACCTGGTCAGGCTGCTGGGAACCCTGTAAGCAAGATGTCAGGCCAGTTCTTCTTCCAAGCGGCTTTGTTGGTTCCATAAAGTCAACTTTAGTTCCTTAAAGCTGTCTGGTCATATCTGAGTCAATGCATGTCTGTCTCAAACATGACATTCCAGTCAAAGCCTTGGTAATATAACCAGTGTTTTCAATTGTGTCCTGTTTCAAGAAGAACAGAGACTTATTGAACTTATGCAAACAAAATTACTGCCATAAAATAAGAAAATACTCACTGAGAGTTTCCAAGTTTTGGAAGGATCGTGTAGAGAGAAAGATAAATGTTTCAGTTCTGCTTAAAAAGGTATAATTTACTAAACTGCTGTAGGTTGGGTTAAGAGAAAAAGTTTAAAAATAAACACAATGTTTTTTAAAAGACTAGCAACATTTGAAACAAAAATGTCATGAAAATTAAAATCATCCTCTTCAGTTTACTCAGTCTTGTGTTTCTGCTTGAAGCTAGTTTTTCGCTAGTTTCAGAGTAAAACTAACTAAAAATGACAAAAGACTTGCAAATGGCAATGGTTAAAGATCTAATGGGAGTTCATCATAAGGCAATTGATAAGGAAATTTGGTTATTTCTGTAACAAGGTAACAGTTCAGTAATCTAAAGTTTAGCATCATTCATTTGACAATGCCTCCCAAGTAAATATATATCAAATGAATAAGCTGAGTTAGCTAAATAGTTCTCCTTTATGAGGAGAAAATCCTCTGACATGTTCCAGGGGTCCTCTGGAAAATCTGAGCATTAACTAGAGGTAAAAGTACCTTTTGAATTTGATGGTGGGAAGTTGTAAAAAATACCAAGCTTGCAAGCTTGGCATGGGTCTTTTTGACCTCTGAGATGGAAGAAAGCCTGAACATAAGGGACCTCTGCCCATTTACGTACCCGCTAACAGAAAAGATACAACTGAATAAGGGTGTTAGGATTAAACCACTGTTCCTGGTCTCTTAGTTGGTATTGAGGCCAAGCTGTATGGTAAAAGAATATTCGCCTTTTCTTTTTAAGCATCTCAGGGTCGAGTTGAGACCAGGGTCCAGATGCAGCCCAATGGTATGGCCTGGCTAGGAAGAAAGGAATGGGTTAGAGCCCAGCATCCCAGGGTCTGTCCCAGAGCTCTTATCTTCTAGCGACCTGAAACTCAACCCTTCCTGTCCTGGACGTCTGTGAGGGCAGGGCAGAGACTGGACTGGAATGGGTTAGAGAGCCCCGTGTATCAGGGTCTACCCCAGAGGTCGTGGCACAGCTGGCTGCCCAGGACCATAACTCTTCCCACCTCAGACGTCTCCTAGTGGGATATGGTGGGGTATGGTGGACTGGAGTCTCGTGGCTTCCTAGTGAAGGGCTAAAGGGGCTTACCGTGATCTGTGGTGGTCCCGTGAGACGTGGTGGGTGACGACAAAGGCTGACAGGGGAGGTCCTTATGGAAGCGTGAAGGAGGCTCGGCCCAGCCAGACAGACAGAGAGCTGAGGGGAGGGGAGGGGCATGCTGAGCTTCGGAGTCCCGGGATGATGCCGTCCTCTACCAGGAGAATCCCAGGAGTCTGGAAACTTCTTCAGTTCTGTCCCTCTGGCCAGAAGTGTGTGCCATGGAGCGACAGCAAAGGAGAAAAAGGGGAGTTACAGGTGACTGAGACTTGGTCTGGGATGAAACCAGAGATAAAGATCGAAGGATGAAAAGACCTTGAGTGGACTTGTAATAAGCAGGCGAGGGGGAAGGACAGTGAGGGCGGAGCTTAACGTTAAAGTGGGAGAGTGACAGGCAGGTCCACACGGGGGACAGGGAGGCTTAGCCTGCTGTCAAAGGACAAGGAGGATGGAAGTCAGACCCCCGAGGGAGGGGCAGAGTTTGGGAAAGAAACGCGGAGAGCTGAAACTACAGACAAACATGAGGAAATGAAAGTAAACAGACCTAGTGTCGGGAAAGAGGGCTTGGCCCTAGGCTGTGCTGCCCCCGCAGGCTGCCGGGCAGGCCGGAGAAGCTGTTGGAGATGGAAGGTCAGAGTCAAGTCGGACCTGCAGATCCCATTAGGGTAAAAGTCTCTGTTCCTCTCTAAATGGAAAATGGAGCCGATAGAGCAGATGTGACAATGGAAAGGACCCTGAGCATAAGGGGCAAAGGGTCATAGGGTCAAGGTGAGTGAGAAGGCTCTTGGCTGCTGCAGGGAGCCGGGGGTGAAGAGGAGAGTAAAGGGAGAGATCTCCGGGCAGCTCTGGGCCACATGCCCGGGCTGCCGCCCAGGGAGGGGCTCCCACAAGAGCACAAGCCCTCGGGCGGGGTTTGGTGGACACCACACGGCACGGGGGATCATGAGATGGGGTCTCCGGGGAGGTCGCCCCAGCTAGCCGACTGACAGCCAGCACAAAGGCATGGAGGAAGGGAAGAAATGAAATGCAGCGAGTAGGAGAAATTTGAGAAAAAAGGAAGTCTCTGCATGGACATATTGTGTGAGAAACCGAGAGGGAAGGGGAGGATTCCCAGAGAATAGGTGAGTTGTGAGTGCCTCCGGCCAGGGGCAGGCCCGGGCACCCCTGGAGCTGCTCTCTGCCCCAGGGCACCTCACGTGTGGGGTGCTGAGGTCATCCTCCTCTTCCTCGTCCCCACCCCAACAGCATTGAAAGAGACAGCGAAGCAAAATGGAAGTTTTATGTGCTGACCCTCCAAGGGAGGAGTGGCCCAGAGCCAAGGTAGACAGAGGCAGAGAAGCCCCTGATTGGCATTCGTTGGCCTTGGGGTCTTTGATCTGATTGGAGAATTGGATGGGCGGCACTCTGCCGTTTTTATCTGTGGACTTTTATTGTCATCAGGGGAGTGCCTGGGCCTTTCACGGCCACTCTAGGTCCCTATGGCTGCATTCAATTAATCCTGAGTTATCTCTGGCTCTCTGGCTTTATCTGATTAGCTTCCTAAATTCTTTGTGGGCCCCACCCTCTTTTCATTGCGCTCATTTCTGTCTTTCTGCCTAACACCTGTATTTCTGGAACATTCACCCAGAATAATAAGGATGCACGCTCGTGCCTGGTGTGAATTCTGGGTTGTCTGGGACCCTGGTTCCTCCGAAGGGTTGTTCTCCAGGCTTTCCAGTGAAGGGCAAGCATCAGTGTTTCTAAAAGGGGGTGCTGTACCTTTAAATTCTGAGAGTGAACTTGGCTCAGGAAGGCCAGCAGTCAAGGTCCAGCCCCTAGGAGAGAGAATAGCTACAGATTCTCCATCCCCCGTCTTTGCAAGGGGACGGCTGTGCCAGCCAGGCTCGGGCAGGCTCCCGGCAGCATGGCAGTGACACTCGGGGCCCTCCTGCTGGTCCTTGTGCTCCGCCCCGTGCAGGGAGCCTCAGCCCACCGGAAGCTCCTGGTGTTCCTGCTGGACGGCTTTCGCTTTGACTACATCAGTGATGAGGCCCTGGAGTCCTTTCCTGGTTTCAAAGAGATTGTGAGCAGGGGGGTAAAAGTGGATTACTTGACCCCAGAATTTCCCAGTCTCTCCTATCCCAACTACTACTCCCTAATGACAGGTGAGTACTGTGCCCTCGGCGGGGGGGCAGGGAGGATCTAGCTGGGCACAGTTGGCCCCTGGCAGCAGAGGCCCATTTAAATGTTCCAGTTTCCCTGGTTCTTGGGGACACTGAAGATAGACAAGAAGTCAGGGTTCTTGACCAAGATTTGTTTTTACGATTGTGTTATTCCCCCAGAGTTATCCCAAGGACCTGTGTTGGATTCTCAGTGTGGAGAACAGAGAACTACATGAATGGATGATTTAAAAAGTAGTTATTTGTTTTATAAATGAAAAGTCTATCCAACTCCCTACTCCCTACTTTCTAAGTTCAAGTTTAAAAAATCAACAGGTCTTCATGTGTCTGTATCATGTTCCTCTGTCCCTTTGCTCTGCGGTCATCAGTCATCCTGGAGGCGTTTTGGCTTATTTATCAATGTGCTAGACTAGGGAATCCTGGGTTACCTGGAGGCAGTTTTTAGGTCACGACCTGAGTCTTACTTAGCATGTCACTTACCCCTTCTTTGCCCTTTCTGGGCCAGGTAAAATGACTTGGAGAAGAACAATATTGTTGCATAGTTCAGATTTCCACTTTTAACTTCTAACATCTATTAAAGTAAACCAAAGCAAAGTGAAGCCAGCCCAGACCGTGCCTCGGCTTGGGAAAGCTGGCTTCTGCCTGAAGGTAACCTTCATCTGGGCTTGCTGGAACCTCAGGTGGGATTGCATGAGCCTGTGCCTCTCTGTGCACTAGAACATACTTCCTGCTCACACAGTTGGAGTCCCAGCTTCCAGTTTATTTTTCAGCTAACCTTTGTGAGGGCCAGCAAGAGGCTCTCAGAAGGAATTTAGCAAACTGTCCAGGGAGGCTGTTAAGAATGCACTGTTATTGCTGCTTATGCAGGACTGAGCTATGTGCTCTGAGCACAGGGAAAACTCTATAAATTATGTTAACAGGAATGGGATGAGAACTCTTGTATCTCATTATGGATCTCCCCAGAACCAAAGAGGTTCTTTTGGCCAAGCTGAAGTGATCTGGGAAGACAAATTGACATCTCTGACTCTATGCACTGTAAGCATATGTACAGAAAAATGCCATAAAACTACAGGGGAAAGATACTTCGGAGAGTTAGAAATGAAGGCATGGAGAGAGAAAAGTAATCCAGACTGCACACAAGCAAGGAATTCATTTGCTCATTTTTAGATTGCTCCTGACAAACCCCGAGCATCTGTGAGATACAGAGGATGAACACAAGGCCTCTCGTCCTCCGTTGGCGTGCTTGTCCCCTGGCAGGGCAGCAGTGTGCAGGCTGCAGGCCCCACATAGCTGTTACTGTGTGTCACAGCCCCACCTCGGTTCTGTCCGCGGAGCTGCACGCAGGCAGACCACCCCCACTCCAGTTGTCTTTCAGAGCCTTGCTGGGAGACCCAATTCATTAACTGCCACGTGCTGTTTTCTCAGTCTCTGTGGAAGATGAACAAAATCCATTTTAGAATGTCAGACCATTCCACTCCCCACAGAGAAGCTGAGCCAGTGACACAGGCTTTTGTCTGTCAGACCCACTTCCCTGGCACTGGCACAAGGGATAATTTGCCAAAGCCTCAGTCACGGAGAGATGCACCTTCTTTTCAGGCTGTGGGTGTTTTCATTTGTCCAGGCATGGCAGAGAGCCCTTTCCTTGGTGGGACAGGGCGGTTCCCACGGGCGTTTGCCCAAGATCTCACCTTCACTCTCAAACTGAGCCTGGCTGGAGGAAGCCGCAAGCTCTCTGTAGGTGTTATGCCTGTATACTTTTAGGTGGTAAACTGTAGTATCTGGTTTGAAAGCCTGCTCGATACTTACGTTGGCTTTTCCACTTTTCCTGGAACAATCTGTATACAGGATGTGTCTACGGGGCTCAAGACTGTGGGCGAATGTCTGTGGGTGTGATTCATCTTGTACCTACCGAGCAAAGGTGGAGGCTGGGAGCAGGATGGCAGACTGGGAGATGCCAGGCTATGAAGCTGGTATCATCCCCACTGCCCTGGAACTGACTCAGGACTAAATTTAGACTGTTTCTCCCAATATCCATGCTCATTTTTCCACCTGATGTTGAAAAATTCCTCTTTTCTCATGTAAGGAAGGATAGAGCCATTGGGAATTGTACTTAAACATATGGTTTGAGCATTTAACCATTCTATGAATGAACAAAAGAATCATACCAGACCCTTTTAATACTAAAAGATATGCTGTTTTAGGGTTCCTCATTATTTATAAGAGAAACTATGATCTCACTTCACTACATGAATTATTGCTCATAACACATAAAGCCCTTGGTGTTCTTCTCTTTGCATAATGAGCAATAATGGGTAATTGGAAGGAACCCCAACCCTGAAGCTGGAAGAACTTGGGGGGAGTCCTCACAGGGTCAGGAGGATGTGGGAGACTTTGGGCAAGTCATTGAGCTGCCCTGAGCCTCAGTTTCCTCAGCTTTGGGGTCCTAAGCAGTCCAGGAATCTCAGATGCTGCTGGATGCAGACATAAGCAACACTTGGAGAACTAGAAAAAGTTAGGACTAGAGCCTCTCAGGAGGCCAAATATAAGAAATTAAGTAAATGACTGAAACTCTCTAGAGAGAAGAATTTCACAGGAAGCCCGTTGAGAGTGATGGGAAGTGAACAGTTGCAAGATTTGTAAGGTAACTTGGAAATCACCTCGCCCAGCCCCTAGCTGATTTTTTTTCTCCTTCAAAATATGTTTGCATCAGGACAAATGCAAACAAAATTCTAATAGTGATCAAGAAGAACCATAAGTCAATTGACTGCTGTGAACACACATAGAATCTTAAAACAGGGCCTTCCTATCTATACTCAAGTTGAGGAAGTGAGACCCATCAGGAAACTGCTCATCTCCTAAACTTAATGACAAGGGCTGAATCAGGTCCCTCCAAAATCCGTGCATTGAAGTTCCAACCTCCAGTACCTCAGAATGTAACAGTATTTGAAGATACAATCTTTAATAAGGTGATTAAGTTAAAATGAGGCCATTAGAGGGAGACCTTGATTCAATGTGACGGGTGTCCTTTTAAGAAAGGGAAACCCAGGGATAAGTGTGCATGGAGAAGAGGCCACGTGAGGCCACAGAGAATGGACTGCAGCAGACCGGAAGGCAGGAGAATGTCCTCTGGCTGGAGTAGTGGGTGGAAGCATGCTGGAGGAGGTGGCTCTGAGCTGGAGTCAGTAGCCACAAGCATGGCCTATTTCGTTGTATCTTTATGCATACACTCTCTAAAGGTCTACTTAATGTGAATTAAACACAGCAGTTGTAACTGCTCTAGATTGCTTTCTGTTCTAC